TCAAAAAAGTCAGTTTTTCGAAAAATACGCAACTAGAAAGACTACAAATCCCAGAGTTGCGTAAGTGATGTCATAACTGATGTCACAATTGTTTTCCTCTGCTAAACATAAGAGATATATAAGATAACTTTAACAAGATGCCTGTGTGCTTAGTACCAGGCTGTAATCATACCAGCAATGGGTCTTGCTCGTTCTTTCGCTTCCCGTCTGATGAAAGGACCAGGAGTGGCTGGATCAAGTTAGCTACCTAGCTAGTAGCAAGCACGTTAGTTAGCATTACAGCCTTAGCCTTGTCATTTTTATTAGCCTTAACATGAAGTAACATTAAGTAACCCAAAATGTTAAACGGTAAGAGTAGTAGTCATATTTCGTGAACCCTTTGAAGAGTACTGTCACATCGGTGTGATCATTCTATAATACACGATTTAAGCCCGGGGGAGAAATGCTAACGCTAACGCTACATTAGCATCGGCGATCTTTTGTACTTCATGCTATCTGCACAAATGGTTGACATTAAACATTAAAAAGATCAGGCAGTTCAGAGAGAATCAAAGGAAGGCAGGCAGGCAGGCAGCTTTGCATGACATTCTGCTGGCCGTGTTTCATTGTGGTGATAGTGAGGGTAGTCAATCCCTTGTTTAGCAAGACAGTAGTGATGGCCATCTTGGTGACGTATGTTGTTCTGCGAGACCAGAGATGAAGTTCATTGACCGTTTCACACAAAAAAATGTGTTACTTCACAGTTTTACGACACATTTGTTTTTTTTGACTGGCAAAATTATCTTTTAAATTGACAAACATCATATGTGTAATTCGTGGCACAATTCAAACAGGATCGAAAGATAATCTTTCTCTCTCCATTGACTTCAATACATAATTTTTCCGAAATAAGGTCCCATGGAGGTCCACCGGAAGAGGAGGGACTTCGCCACTCTATATAAAGCGTCGGCCTTTACACAACTCTGATGGAAGTCAGTTTTCAACGGGCAGGGCGTCCCATTGACTTGCACTCACCTCGCGAAGGGGGCCTCACCTCGCGGAGGGGGCCTCACCTCGCGGAAGGGGCCTCACCTCGCGGAGGGGGCCTCACCTCGCGGAGGGGGCCTCATCTTGCGGAGGGAGCCGCAAATGCGGCGCACCTATGCGCTTATGCGGCACAATTAGTGTGACGCGGCATGGTTTCGCCGCTGCGAGGCTCCACTTTTGCCTATTCTTATGCAGGTTGTAAAATAAAACAAAGACACTTCGTAGCCCTTACCAGCATGAACCAAGACTACAATAACTGTTTATTATTTTCCCCATTATCAACCACAGTGCACATTAAAGCTTCACTTCTTCAATTTTTACCTTTCACAATAAAAGCCCAACTTAAATTAATTCAGTACTTCCTCTTGCACCGCTGGCCCTGCTTTTCACTCCAGTAACCTGAAGATCTTCAGCCCACCTCTGTGCAGTTGCAATAATTGACTACACTTACTAACAAAGATTTGACGTCCTCATTACATGTCTTGTTATTTTAAAGATTGTTTTGTATTTCAGTGGGAACAAGTCGGGGTGAGTGCCACACAGGGTACTTGAATCAGACCATTTAGCGAGACGGACAAAAACTGTTTGTGTTTTGTTCCTTTTATCAAATTTGTTGGCTTATAACATGCGTAGTATAACATTGTTTTATCCACAACTCATAGCAACCTTTTTTTGGAGTCTCTTTTATGTTTATAGATCTTTAATGCTAATTCAGCAAATCGACATCCTACACCACCAAGCAGGTATCAAGGCAGAAAGACAGAATTTAAAACATTTCTGTTTTCAGGGATGTCACCACCTGGAATGCAAAAACCCTGGTAGACCTCGGAGAGCTACCTCTTTATTTAACAGAAAACTTCTGGGGCAAATTCAAATCTGTAAGTGTTTCGCTTTTTCCTTTTTCTTGTTAAGTCCAATAATATTCATCTCATTTCATAATTTAAAGTACCTTGTCAGAGACACGTGATTAAATAGAACAATTCTTGATTTTTTATTTTTATTTTGAAGAAAACAAAGAAAAGGTTCCTTAAGACCTTTATGCCAAAACAGAGGAAGAAGAAAGTGAGGAAGAGTAAGCTCAAGAAGCTGTTCAAACATATCAGTGCCCGCAAGACAAAACGAGGAGCAGGTAAAGAAGGAGGCGGCTGATAGCCACAGTGTTAGCCTCAGTATTTGTTTGTATTTATTACATAAAGAGACACTGGTGTATCTCACTGTACTATATTTTCCCCTCTCACTGGTCAATTATTTTCAAGGCTGCACTGTGGGCGACATCACCCAGATGACAGTCAGTGACAACGCCTTCCCATTTGGCTACGACCTGATGCAATTCGACCTCTGCCTGGACATCCCCGTTCTAAAGGACAGCCTGGACTCTTTCTGCCAGAAAGTGGACGACAATGACTTTCAGACAGTCATTCTGAGGAAACTCAACGAGGTACCTTTTGCAAATACAATGTGAAATTGTGAGATTACTTAATGTACACTATTTCTTGAGATATGCATATAGTATATGCCATTACACACTAGTAATGGAGTTAAGAAATAAGAAATAATTGGACAAAAAAAGTGTTTTTCATGTCTTCGAAGGTATATTTGTAAAATCACATGGTTATTTTAAGTTTGTTGGAAAGAAGATTGATTGATGGATGGATGGATGGATGGATTGATGGATGGATGGATTGATGGATTAATGGATGGATGGACAGACAGACAGAAAGATAGATAACGTTCTCTATCCAACTCATAAGATACATTGCTGACTTTCACTAGTGAGCATGATGGATAGACAGCTAACATTCCCGAACTCAATTATACTATGATAGACTGACTGACAATGATTATTGAATTTGGTCTCTAATGGGGCTTTCACACCAACGCGGTTCCATGGCCGGTTCGGAGCTAGAGCCTGAAAAGCACCATTTTTTCCTGTTCGCACCGCAGCGGAGCCGCCTCTAAGCTCCGGAATCCGGTTAGTTTCAAGCACCAAAACATTGTCGGTCTAGAAGCAAGAACCGCATACGTCACGCTCACGTCGGAGGGGGGCGAGATTAACCTCAGCTAACAGTTAAAGGCGAGTACGGCAAATAAAAGTGGTAACAAGCAGTAGCGCTGAGTAAAGTGACTAGAACGCAACCACACACTTGTAAAAAAAAAACACACTTTATAAAGTCAGGCAACACTAACAAGGCTTTGTGTGATTCTGTTTTTTTGTATCTTA